GCAGTAAGTTTTTTTTTTTTTTTTTTTAAATTTTTCGAGGCAGGGTTTCTCCGTAGCTTTTGGTTCCTGTCCTGGAACTAGCTCTTGTAGACCAGGTTGGCCTCGAACTCACAGAGATCCGCCTGCCTCTGCCTCCCAAGTGCTGGGATTAAAGGTGTGCGCCACCACCGCTCGGCTGAGCAGTAAATTCTTTTTTTTTTTTTAAAGATTTATTTATTTATATGTATACAGTATTCTGCCTCCATATATCCTATAAGCCAGTAGAGGGCATCAGATCTCATTAAAGATGGTTGAGAGCCATCATGTGGTTGCTAGGAATTGAACTCAGGACCTCTGGAAGAGCAGTCAGTGCTCTTAATCTCTGAGCCATCTTTCCAGCCCTGAGCAGTAAGTTCTTAACTGCAGCTCCTGGCACCTAGTATATCTTAAACTATGTTTTGCTTTAGGACATCCAGAGGGCATATTCAGAAACTTCCTCAGATTTCAAGAGATTTTATTGTCTTTACTTCTGTTTAATAAGTGATCAGATATCTTCTTATACAATACAAACTGCTATGTTCTTTTATTGGCTAACCTGGCCAGTGCTACAGTGAAGAAATACAGGAGACAAGACCTGTATTATCAAGATAAGTCAAAAAGGTCTTCAATGAGCCGGGCAGTGGTGGCGCACGCCACTCGGGAGGCAGAGGCATGCGGATCTCTGGGAGTTCAAGGCCAGCCTGGTCTACAAGAGCTAGTTCCAGGACAGGCATCAAAGCTACAGAGAAAACTTGTCTCGAAAAACAAACAAACAAAAAAAAGGTCTTCAATGTAAGGCAGCGGTGGAGGCAGCACACACCTTTAACCCCAGCACTCGGGAGGCAGGCAGGCAGATCTCTGAATTTGAGGCCAGCCTGGTTTGCAGAGAGTTCCTGGACAGTCAGGGCTACACAGAGAAACCTGTCTTGATAAACTAAAGAAGAAAAAAAAAATCTGTGATGCTGTTGGGGGGCAGAAATCAACATCAAGCTGAGGGACATTCATTTAAAACTTTTCCCCTACAAATCCCAGTGTAAACAACTTGTTTTCTCTTGAGAATTTACTTGATACAAAGGGTCTATTAAGATCATGCTCCATCTATGCAATTAATGTTTCATCAGTATGGAAAGAGAAGGAACAACAAAGCTGGCAGTTAATCTTTGACTCACCCCAGAGGCTCCCTTCCTCTCCTGTCCCTCAGAGTGACGGCTATTTCAGTATGTATTGTAAATGAGTATGCATTACCAGTGGGAATATTTTCTCAATTCTTAGAAAAACTTTGAGCTTTTCTAACTAATGGCTTATCCCTTCCAGTTCTTATTATTAAACTAAGTTGGCAGCCAATTGTTATAGTAACCATTTTTTAAAATTAATTCATTTCCCCCAACCCTGTGTGTGTGACACACACTCATGCACAGGTGCCTACAGAGGCCAGAACAGGGTGTTGGATCCCCCAGAACTAGAGTTACAAGTAGTCTGCCCAATATGGGTACTGGGAACCAAATTTGGGTTGACAGTCAGTCCTCTGGAGAGCAGCAAGTGCTCTTAACCACTGAGCCATTTCTCCAGCTTTACCCATTTTCTAAAAACTATCACCAGAGTAGGACTCAATGGTACAAACCCAGAGTCCCAGCTACTGGGACTAAATTGTCCTGGAACTCACTATGTAATCCTCTTTCATCCCCCCCAAGAGCTACCACACTCAAATACAAACCTAATCACTAAGAATTTTTCAAATTACAGGGCTGAGCATAGTGGTTTATGCCTTTAATCCCAGCACCCAGGAGGCAGAGGCAGATACACACATCTCTGAATTTGAGGCCAGCCTTGTCTACACAGAAGTTTTAGGCAAGCCAGGGCTAAAAAGACATGGTCTCAAAGCAAACACCAATAACAACCATATAACCTGGGGACTGGATATTAAAGAGAGCTTGCTGTGCAGTCATGAGGACCAGAGTTCAGATCCCAGTACCCATTTAAGCAGGGCATCCTACCAACTCCTATAGCATCAGCTTGGGAGAAGATGGCAACAGAGGAATCACTGGGGTCCAGTGGGAACATAAAGAGCTCCAGGTTCAGAGGCCCAGATTCAAAGGAAGAGGTCAGAGCAACAGAGGAAGAAACCTAATGCCTTTTCCTGGCCTCTGCATGTATATAGGTATGTTCAACCACACACATACTACAACATAAAACCTCTATTCAGAAATCTTCTGAATCATAAATTCAACATAACTGGTATGTGTGTGTTTTAAGACAGGGCTTCACTATAAAGCCCTGGATGGCCTAGAACATAAATGTTTTTAAAATTAGTGAGATTATTAAGATCCTTTTACCACCAAGATTTACCTTAGTAGAATTAATGATTCAACTTGAACTGCCTCCGAAAAACACCAGCAGCACCACTGGCCTCTCCAGTTTACAGTCAGGGTCTAATTCTGGAATGAGAGGAAGTAATAGAATGGCTACCACACCTCAAAGATTCTATTATTGCTTGAAAGCCACAGCAAAAATTCTACTTTAGAGGCTAGAGAGATGGCTTTTTTTTGTTGTTGTTGAAGGGAGGAGTTTTCCAGTGTTAGAACACACTAGCAGAGAGAGAGAGAGAGAGAGAGAGAGAGAGAGAGAGAGAGAGAAGAAGAAGGAGGAGGAGGAGGAGGA